CCCCCCCCGACGCCTGGCCTCCGAAAGTCCCATCTGCCCCTCGCACGGCCCCGAGCGTGGCTCCAGCGTCTCGCGCCCGTCCGGTATCAAGTCCCTCTTCGGTGTCTTCACTTGTGCCCAGGCGGCTGCCACGGCCCCCCGCATGAAGGCTGCCGGGCGACATGATGGGTGCCCGCCGCTGCAGCGGGTGGACCCTCCCGCCTGCTGATCGCATGCGCCTCTTGGGATGCGGCTGCCCGGGGGCCGTGCAGGCCTGCCCGCGGTCACATTCGACGGGCGGCGGGGGTGCCCCGTGCCTGTTGCACTGGCGGCGCGCCCGAACCGGAGCCACGCAAGGTGCCCCACGCGAGGACGTGCATTTGCCGTGCCCCAGGGCCGACGTCCACCGGCAGCACATTCAAGCGCCTCACCGGCCCGAAGTACACCCCCCCCCCCCCCCCCCGGCAACATGGGCGAGTGCCACCTCCGCCGGGCAGGGCTGTGCAACGGGCGACAGGCGGGCGGCTGCCTCACGGGCGTCGGCACCAGCATCCTCCCTGGCCTTTGCGCGAGCCCCCCCCCCCGGCCCCCTCCCCCACGCGCCAGGCGGGACACCCCGGCAGGCGCGCATGGCGCCCGCCCGCGGGCGAGGCACATGCCACATGCACCGGCAGTTCCCCCTGGCGCTCCTCCAGATTGGCCCACTTGGCAGGCTCGTCGACGAGAGACCGCCGCGCGCCGGTGGGCCTGGTTGCGCCGGGCCCCGCCCGGTGGGAACTCGCGCTGGCCACCTCCCCCCCCCGCCCCGGGGCCTCGATCGGCTCTGCCGCCGCTTCGCCGCCCGCGAGGGGCCCGTCCCTTCCGATGATCTTCCAGCGAGGTGATTGCCTGTGTGTCCACACGGGGCGCCCTCCACCCGGCACCCTCCTTTTTGCTTTCCCCCGTGTAGCTCCTCTCTTGTGGACCTCCTCCGCGCACCTCCTCTCCCCTGGGTGCCCCCGAGCCGGGCGCTTTCTTCTCTGCCCCCTCCCCCCTCCCGGGCGCCGGCACCGGGGAGGATGGTCACTCGCTTGATGCGCGCCGGGCCTCGCCCCCTGCCCGGTGTCTGTCGGTCGTTCGCCTGCCCGCCCGGTGCCGCCCCCCTCCGGGACGCGCTCGCCCCCCAGGGCGCTATGCTGGTCCCGAAGGGCCACTTGCCAGCGCCCAGAGCCTGCAATAGCCACATCCCCCACCCTCCTGCTCGCTCCGTGTGGCCGCTCTGCCCATCATGCCATACGGGGCGCCGCCTCCCAGGGGTACCCCCCAGGCAGGCAGGGCAGCCACACCGAGCGAGCAGGGTGCATGCATCCCGAGGCATGCCGGCGCCCGGCCCCTAGGGGCCCTCCGGTCGGACTTTGGACACACCTACAAGCGTCAGCCCATGGCCCGGTGGGAGCGGGGGCATCTCCGGTGCCGGGGGACCTCTCGGTCGCACCCGCAGCGCGAAGCCCGCGCAACGCACCCGCCCGCCGCAGTGGACGAGACCGGGAGCCTGCCCCGAGCGCCGCCCGGCGCCTGCATCAGCGCCATCGCCTCCAAGGCCGAAAGCGGTGCCCCAACGTCCTCCGCCAGGCGCCGGGGCGTGCTATATACACATACACATGTATGCATGCGTACGCACAGAAACGCCCATACACACACACAGGCTTCGCCATGGCCTCGGCCGCTCCGGCACGGAGGCCCGCAATGTTCGGCGCGTCCCTCATCGGGGCCACCTTCTCCGGAAGGCAGCGCCCCGCGCATTCTCGCGCGCCTTCCCCCTTGCCGTCCCGGCGCCGCGGCCGAACGCTTTTGCTTGCACTGTCGCATTCCCGCCGGCGCCATTCTCCCGGCTCGCCACCCATCCCCGGGGGACCCCGCAAGCCGCCCCCCGTCCCCCCCCATGCCCACCCCGGCAAGCGGGGCGGCGCGCCGGGGCCCGGCCCACCCGGACGCATTACCCCGCACCGCCGCCCGGGGCATGCCCCGGGGATAGCATGTGCCCACGCCCCAGTGCGGCAGGCCGGCACTCGCACCGGCGGTGGCGTCGGTGCCAGCAGGCCGGCGGCCCGCCAGGCCAGGCCCACTGGCGAAGGGCCCAAGGAAAAAGCCACATCCCTGTGTGCCTGTCCCTCCCACGGGCAGCCCCTGCCTCCGTTCGGGATCTCCCGATGCTCCCCCCTCCCTCCTGACTCGGATAACCGCGCTGCCCTCGCCCGCCCGCCCGCCCGGGGCTGGTGCCGCACAGCGGTGCCTCCGCTGTCCGCTGCCTGCCCACGGCCTGGCTGCCATTCAGACGGCGAAAGCCCCCCAAGCCTTGCCCATCACGATCGCTCCGCCCCCGGATCACGGTCGGATCTGTCGAGCGGGTGCTTGCCATCGCGCCAGACCCCCCCTTCATCGAGCCACGCCGCCACGCCGGCCGAGGGGACGCATCGTGCAGCCACACTGCCGGGCCGTATGCCGCCGCTGCCCGGGGCCCGGCTCGTCCAAAGGCGCCCCGCCTGGCCGGACCGCCGGCGGCAGGCAAGACACCGACTGTCCACCGCATCCCGGGGCCGCCCGGAAATGGCGACACAGCCCCTGCGCGCGATCGAACAAACGGCCGGCGGATGTGCAAGCACGCCCCGGGGGACATGGTCCCAGTGGGGACCGGCCGTCGGCGGGGTGCCTCCCATGCTCCGTACGCTTGGTTCACCTGTCCCCCCGGGCGCCCCGACGCCCGTGCCACCGGCGACGTGTGCCGCAATCCCGCAGGCCGGTTTTGCCTTTTTTTCTTCTCTCCCGATGGCCTCCTCCGGGCTGCCCCGCGTCGCGCCATCGTAATGGACCCTGCGATCGGCGGCAGGCCCCCGGGCCAGGATGCCCCACCGCCCGGGAAGAATACTCCAACCGGCAGTCCCCCGGGCGCTTTAAGGCAATGCCCTCCACCTCGCCCCCTCCGCCTGGCACGCCGCACGGTACTCGCGTCCTGTGACCTGCCCCGGCGGCCGCAACGGGGCCGAGTGGCGTGAGTGCGTCGAGCGAGCCGAGCCGCACGCCGCCATGCGCCGCCACCCATCGGCCCGCCCGGCGCCCGGCAGTCGGCCCCCGGCGAAGCCCGGTGATATGGGGGGCTGACGGCCTCCGAAGACCGAGGACGCCTGCGACGGCCACCGGCAGCCGCCCGGCTGGCGGCCGCGCAGAGCACACACACACACACACACAACTTGGCCATCCCCCGCGGGCCTTTTCACGCACAGGGCCTGAGAGGCCATCCCTGGGGCCATCTGCTCGGTGCCCTCGCCCGCAGCCGAAAGGCCCTGCCCCCGCCTCGAGCACATGGCCGCGCAAGGGTCCCCACCCCGCCCTGCCGTGGGCTTCGGCGGTGTCCACCGCACCGAGCCGCCCGCCAGCACCCCCACCCCCCCCAGTCACACAGGGGCTCCATGCGCCGTGCCGACTGGCTATGCGAGCGCGGAGGGCGATCGTCATGGCCGCGGCGCTCGACCGGCCAGGCTGGCGCGTCTGGCCTGCCCGCACCCCGACCGGCTTACCCCACGCACACCGTGTCCCGCCGGCGAAGGCGCAGGAACACCATCCCCCGCGGTGATGGCGGGACTTTCCCCTGCCGTGCTTGGGGCAGTCCAGTCACCGATACGGAAATGCCCCACACCATCGGGCACGCCAGCCAGCCCGGCGTCGACTCCCCCGAGCGGTGGTGGTGGTGGTGGTGATGCCAGGTGCCCTCGACGCCTGTGGCCCCCGGCGCGCACATCGACGGCCCCTCTCGCCAGCGGAGGGCCTCCGGCATCCGCTCGATGCGTCCCTCGCCTCCGCCCGCTCGGCTCTCCCTTGCCTCTTCCGACCTTGGCAGTGTCCCTGCTTCGAAGCCCCTCCCCCTCCAGGCGCCTCGCGCATCCCCCACGGCAACGGCGCCATGCGCGCCCCGCTGGCAAGACCCAAGCACAACGACAAAGACAGGGCCAGCCCGGCCGGCCGCGAGAGCCACGCCCCGAGGGGCCACATGCTCCGGGCGCAGGGTGCCTCGCCGCCTGCCACACCCCCGCGGCCGCGCCCACACGCACAGCCACCACTGCCGCGGGGCGCGCGCATGGTCGGGAGAGACAAAAAAAGACACTCCTGCGCACGGCCGAGATGGCCCCCGCCGGCACGATCCCCACGGGAGATCGGTGGGCACGGCCTACATCAGTGGGGGGGACAAGTAAACAACGTGGCCACCGCCACGCGGGCCCTCTCGCAGCCACCACAGCCGCGCGTCCCCGCCGGGCAACAGTCCCCCCCGTGGGAGGTGCACCCCCTTAGCCGATGGCCACGGGCCGATCCGTCTGCCCCTGCCGGTGCCGGACTGCACCGGTGTCCCGGTAGTGGCGCTCATGCGCACACCCCTGCACCGGCCAGCCGCATGCCCCTGCGCCGGCCGCACCGGCGCCGGCTCCCGACACCCCCATTGCCATGCCCA